GTGACCAAGCAGTGACTACAACCTTGCCCCTTGTCAGCCCCATTATACACCTGGCAATTCAGATCATACACATAAAGTTATTGGACCACTGTCTGCCAACCCTATACATGTTCTTGGGTGCACTCTCCACTTCATATAGATACCTAATATTTCAGCCTTTCCAGAGTTGGAGGATATTTTGCTGTATATATTCTCAGCAACAACAAAATAAAAATAAATAAATAAATAAAAATTGGAGTCCCTGCATGGTGCAAACTGTTGATGCACTTGGCTGCTCACCAGAAGTTTGGAGTTCAAGTCCACCTAGAGGCCCCCTAGGAAGAAAGGCATGGAGATCTACTTCTGAAAAATCAGCCTTTGGAAAACTTAGGGAGCCATGACTTGGAACTGACTCCACAGCATGTGGTTTGTGATCTGTAGATAACAAAAGCAATGGAGCCTACATGTGTCGGCTGGAAACACTCAGATGTTGGAGTTGGACCAATGCTAATTTGTCTATTTCAAGTCGCCTGCCTCAAGTAAGACAGAGATTCCACCTATTTGAAGCCATGAGATTTGATATTAATGAGCTTGACTTTGAAATGAATACTTCCTCTGACTAACTATCCTCTTTGGTGATTGGAGGTGGTGGGATTCCAGACAAGGAAACCAAACCAAACTCACTGCCGTTGAGTTGGTCCCAACTCATGGTGACCCCTCCTTGGATTTCTGAGGCGGTATCTCTAAGGAAGTAGATTGCCCAATCTTTCTTACGAAGAGTGGCTGGTGGGTTTGACCCGCCAGCCTTCTAGTTAGCAGTCAAATGTCTTAGGCACTGTGCCACTAGTGCTACCTCCATTTATGGTTGCTCTGCCTGGCAGAGATGGAAGCAGAAGGGAGTGGCTACGTTCCCAAACCTGTTGAGGCAAGAGGTAAAACATGGATGAATTCTCGTAGCCAGACAGCCATTCAGAGTTCTTCAGGGTCAAGCACAGGAATGCTATTGGGACTCGTAAGGTCCAGGGAGTAGCCACCAGTTGTTCTGTTGTACCCAGTTAAAGGAACAGTCAAGACTCCAGGAAATTACTTGCAGAAAAAGGCTAAGAGAGAAGCCTAGCTCTTGAGTTGTTGTGTACCGTCTGGTTGATTCTGAATTACAGTGATACTGTAGAACAGATCAGAACTGCCCCATAGGGTTGCCTAGGCTGTAATCTTTACAGGAGAGTGCCCTGCCAGTGTAGTGTTTAAAGCATTTGGCTGCTAAACAAAAGTCAGCGGTTTGAGCCCACCAGCCACTCTGTGGGCAAAAGATGAGGCAGTCTGTTTCTGTGAAGGTTTATAGCCTTGGAAACACTACAGGGCAGTTCTACTCTGTCCTACAGGGTTACTATGAGTCAGAATCAACTCGATGGCAGTGGGTTAGGTTTAATCTCTACAGGAGCAGATTACCAGGTCTTTTCTCCCATGGAACAGCTGTTGGTGGAACCCCTAGATCTTCCAATTAGCAGCCAAGAACTTAACAATTGCTCCACCAGGTTTCCTTAACTTTTGGGTAGAAGGCTCCTAATACACTTTCCCTCAAGGTGGGAGCTGAATCAGAACTATCAGACCTGAGAAAACAATACTGGGTACAGGAGGGAGAGTCCTGAAGTTACAGGAAGGTCCCCACAGCTTATTTCTGATTTGGTAGTCCTGGATGTGAAATACCTTTTTAAATCTCAAAATGAACACTAAAATTTTTATTCTCGGTAAATTTCTACACAAGAGGACAGAAAAACCATGCAATTATTTACCTTAATAATTCTCTTTATCATTTCTAGAAAAGTGTGCCTAACATCCTAAAATTCCTCGGCAATGCTTTCTACAGAAAACTCCCCAGATGCAAGTCAGCAGGTCTTCCAACTGTTGGTGGAAGTTCAGTTTACGCAATAGCTAAAACACTAAATGTCTAATAAGCTCTCAGGAATGTTCTCCATTCATCATTAATATGGAAAATGACTCAGATTACCTGCAATTTACTCAGCTGCTGTGGCAAAGTTGCCTCACTTTGGCATTCATAAGACAAATCGAGAGAGAGGAAATCGACCAAGTCCTAGAAATAAGCAAATAGGGTCATTAAAGCAAAAGCAATTTCAAGACAAAAAGCTTCTCAGAAATGTTCTTTTTTTGTTTCTCCCCTCATCACTAAATTGATCCTTTCAAAGTGGGATTTTCCTAGGGAAGAGCAGTCAGGGGAGAAACTGGGATGAAGTGAGAATGATGTGTGTGTGGCAGGGGGAGATGCCTGCATGTGTTGGGAATATGTCATCTATATGCTTAGCAAAGTGCTTGTCACACAGTGAAAACTGAATCAATGTGTATGAGTGAGTGGGTGAGGTACTAAATAGCAGAAATTGTGGATTCCCACCAATGTGGAGGAGTGAGGTGGTCAGAGGCCAGAGCTTTCCCAGCCAGTCTTGTCTTCACATCTACCTTGCCCTTTGCCTAGATCAGGCAGTGGAGCACTCAGCCACCCTTGAACTCCAGTGTGATTGCTGAGGCCCCTAATAGGTTTTTATTTGCTATTTTTAGTTCTCTGATCAAAGGACTCCCTTTAGGATGTCTTGTAAGGTTGGTCTGGTTTTAACAAATTCCCTTAGTTTCT